GTCCGAACACGGCTCCACAGTGCGCCTACAGGCTGTCCCTAATTTTCCCTGAATTTTTCCCGGGGAACTGAAACGCACTACTGGTACCTGCACGTGTTCCAAAAAATCCCAAATAAGACCCAGGGCCCCTTTCGGCCAATATCGCGATTCCGGCACGGCGACTCCACAGTGCTCCGGCGGCGGCGACTCGCCTCGGGTTGGCCGTTTTCGGCCTAATTCGGCCACACTTGCATCGGTCCCTGTGATAAAACATCCCTAGGGCCCTCGGGGGGCCAAAAAATTATGAAAAATCGAAGCTTACCGGCGGCGGTGCTCTCGGGTGCGGCGGCTCTCCGGCGAGGTTTGTGTTTTGGTGATTCGGCTATGATCAACCTGTAGAGAAAAGAATGGTGATCACGGTGATATAAAAATTGCATCAAACGGAGGCCGGGAAGGGCCTCATCGGAGGCAAAAACCGAGGAGGGGCGCGGCGGCGCCGCTGGGTTTCGGCCGTTTGGCTGGGATTTTGGCTCCGATTTGGCCACAGGGGAACTCAGCGTGGAAAAACGAGTCGGGGGTATGAAATTTACCTCGATCGGCGGTCGAAAAACTCCCCGGTGCGACGGCGGGTGGCGGCGGCCGGCTCCTCCAGCGTCTGGTTCGTCTTCTCCGGCGAGGGCAGGCGGCTAGGGTTTTTGTGGTCAGGTGTGGGGGTTCTATTTAAACCCTTTTGCCTTTTGATCACAGCCGTCCATTTTGATTAAATCTGGGCCGTCCGTTTTTGATTGAATCTGGACCGTCCGTGCGCGTGCATCTGGGTCGTCCGTGCGCGTGCATCTGGGTCGTCTGTGCGATTGCATCTGGGCCGTCCGTGCGCACGATTGCATCTGGGCCGTCCGATCGCGCGCACGCGGATCGCCCACGTGGCCCGTTCCCTGGTCGACGTGGTCTTGCCACGCGGCAGGTCCTGGTTGGCCAGGGCTGCTGACTAGGCCGCTGACATGGCTGTTGACGTGGCCTTTTTTTAAAAAATTATAAATTAAACTAAATAAATAAAATTAATAAAAATAATAACAAAAATGCTGAAATTATTTGGGCGTTACATAAAATGCTAAAAAAATTGTTTAGAGTCTTTCTGAAAAAAGTTTGTCGAATCTTATTTTAATAAGAAATACCATTAACAAATAGATTTTCTTAAGTTGTTTTAAAAAATGAGATGTGAAGTGAAATATGATACTCCATGTACAACAGATTTCATATGCTTGGTCAGTCCATTATGTGGTATGGTGGTTAACATTCTAAATATAAGAAAACAAGGCTTATTAGGATTTTAGGATATCTAAATTATCATATTCAGTTATAAACTTTCTTTATTTTAGTTTTTTTAGGTTTTCAATGAACTCTTTAATAATTAAGGTCAATGAGGTTGTGGTTTGAACTTATTTTTCAAGAAAAAGTTTTAGTGTTTTATTAAATATTGTTTTAATAATGAATATGTTTCTTGTTGGGTTTGGGTTCCCTCTTATGTGAAAAACCCATGTTGTTTGAGCCAACTTCTTTTGACCAATTAAGGTTATTAGTATTCTAGTCTATGTCATTTGTATTTCAAGTTACTTGTGAGACAACTTTTTCCCCAGTAAAAAGAAAGATAACAAAAATGAAGAGAAAAATAAATTTTCGCTTAAAAATTCCATAAGACCAGTTTTGATTTTTTCGGCAATTAGACGACTATCCGTGCTCCGATCATGCTAAATTTTACTTCATTCTTAACAGCAGAGATTGGTTTTGGAAGGTCGAATTTCTGATATTTGTGGTTTGAAATTTACTGTTCATGACTTTTCTACAACAATAACCAATTTGACTTTCTCTTACAATCAAACAGTTATTTTTGGTTCGATTAGACTTAAACTTAGTGAACACGTTTGAGGTAGATTGTTCTTTGATCAGGATGGTGGAGATCAGATTTGAACAACCAGAGTTCATCCGTTTTACATGAACAATAGCTATTTTGGTGGTATTTCTCCATTCCATTATTTATTTCTTGTCGTTTTGTTGATTTATTGTTGAGACTTTACTTGAAAATTATTGCAGTAGGTTATAGTTGCCATAAACATTAAATTTTTTTATAGTAGAGCTCTTTTACTTGAACCAAGAGAGGTCCCATAATTTTTTTCCTTCATATTAAAGGGGTTTTCTACATTAAAAATTCTTGTCTTTTTATGATTATTTTTATGCATCTTAGGATATATTTTATACTATTCATTTGCTGAATTTTACTTAGTTGTTATTCCTCATATATTCATTTAAGTAGGGAAATATTTTATTTTAGTATTGATTTTAGGCCAATTTATATTGGTTCCTTCTCATCATCTCTTTTTGCACATAGTTCAAGATAAATTTCATTAGGTCTTCATTTTGTTTCTTGTTGGCTTTAGATATTTTAATTTGAGTTGAAAGACCTAGTTAAGAATTCAATTAACTCAATTTAGCTTTAAATTCTAAATGAAGATTTAGAGTAATCTTTTTGAGAGAGAGATATTACAAGTGTTGGTCATAGATTTAAGATTTCACAAAAAACTTTTGGCCTCGTGATGGATGCTAAAGTATTTTGGATGACTTTCGTACGAGCAATATATTATGTCATCTATAAAGTAGACGGTATAATATAAACAAAAAGTTTAGAATTTTTATAGGATAATAACTCTAAGTTCAAGTTAGTATGGTGAAGTATAAGCAAGTTAAGCATGAACAAAGGTGTGTATTCTTAATTAATGTCATACTTGGTGGTGCAAGTAAGTACTTATATTATAGGTAATATTCACATTCTATTAACCAACTTGTTGACTATTATTTTAGGAAGAACGAAGGGTTGTAACTGGTTTGTTAAATAGTGTTAATTTAACATGTTAACAAACAAATCATCTCCTTAGACGTTGCACCTTGTGAATTAGAGTTACACTAGTTAGTCACCCTACCTTTTCGATAACAATATCATTTATGTTATATATATCTATTTTAATTGATAAAGGGTCTATATGCTTCGATATATCTCTGTTTGTAACAATGGAGAAACAATTTGTCTCTCTTCTTCTTGAGTAAGGCTAGCTTGTTGGACTTAAAAGTTATAATTTTATTTGTAAGTATACCCATATGGTAGCCTAATGCCTTGATTTGATGACTTGCATGAAGGTTCATTAATGTCAGGTATAGTCGGGTATGTGCAAAGTTTATTAATGTTCAAATTTAATTATATTTAGATGATACTCTATTAATGTCTAATAGTGACAGCTATTTTTGTTTGAATTGATAAGATCGTATGGTTGTATATTTGAGCAAATTTTCTATCTTGCGCCTAATTTATTATATATAGTAATAAATGAAAAATAAAAAGAAAAAAATTAAAAAATATATTATTAAATATAAAAATATAAAAATATATATAATTAAATATATACACATATATAGTATATATATATATATAATTAAAGATATATATACAATTAAATATATTATATACATATATATAATTAAAATATTATATACATGTATAATATATAAGTAAAAACATAAATACATATATATATACATATCTAAATGTATTATATACAAGTAATTATATATAATTAAATATATAGATAATTAAATATATAAATATATGTATATATAAAATTGATATAATTAAATATATTATATACATGTATATATAATTAAAAATATAAATACAGAATATATATATATATATATATATATACAATATTTTGAAAAGAAGAAGAATAATATATAAAAAAGTGTCGGGTAGAAGAAATTAAAAAGAATGGCAATGTTGTAAATAATAAAAAATATTAAGGGTATAAAAGAAAAAAATTATTAAATCATCATAAAATCATAGCTTTGAAAAGCATGACTCAATCACCGAAAAATTATATTATGTGTTTGAAAATGTAAACAAATAAAAAAAAATTATGAAAAAATTATACTATCATTATTGAACCATCATCCAAATAAAAACTAAAAAGAGAGAATATCATGATAAAGTCATCAATAGTGAGTTTGAATTTATTAATTATCATCGTTTTTTATATATCTTTTTTAAAATTTATATGTACTTTTTTTTTTTTTACATTTGTAATGCATTGATAAGTTTTATTCATGTGCGTAATTCCTCTTATCGAAGTTACATTTTGAAAGAAATTTTAAATTTATAGATAAGTAATAAATGAAGTCTTGTTACTGTCTATTTAGTTTCACATGCAGGCTGAATAATTACCATACGCAAATATATGACATGTTTATTGGCTATATAACAAAAAAAGAGAGAGTGTAAAATTTTGAGAGTCTTCTTCCGGTGAGTTTAGCCTCGAATTTTTTTAAGTATTTTTCAAATTTTAACATAGTAAAATTATATTCAATACTTTTGTACAAATTTATATGAGAGATGAGCACATTGAGTGAGTATTATTAACTTTTAAGTTTATCAGTGGATTTTCTGCTTCTCTTTACTTGTGAATATAATCTTATGCTAATCCATGCACGTAAAATTTGTGTTCTTTATTTTATTTTGGTCTTCATTTTTATTTACTCAAATTAATATTTTTTTTGTTCCGTTACACATATCATTTATATATATTAGGAAAAACAAAAAAAAAAATCATGTACTTTTTCTGTTATTCCTTAGTCAGATTTTACAACTCCCAATTAAATCCATCAAGTTGAAGTTACTGGATCAAAAATTGACAAGGTACTCTGTTTTTCTTTTTTTCCTTTTTTCTGAGATAAGGTTACCACACGTTTATACAGGGAATTAATTAATTTAGGTGCAAGGATCTAGCTCCATATATATATGCAGTATGTATGTATATAAGAAACAATATATCAATGCACACGAGCAATTGTTACGTGCAATACACACACACACACACACACACACACATGTATATTGATCAGCAAAGTTACAAGAAGAAGAACTCAACTTTAACAATTTAATTTATAATTTTCTATCATATGAGGAATGGTCTTGCAAACTAATCTATCTTAAATTGATCATTGTCTGTTTTTAAGAGCTGCAGATACTCCTTATAGAGCTTCTCAAGCGAGATATGATCAGCTGTGAGTAACTGATCAGATTGGCACTCAAAATCTGAGCTGTCAACATTTAAACCATGAAAACGATAAAGATGATCATGGCATTGGACGTGATAACCGTTACTAGGACGATTGAGATTATAAGATGGGATCGCATCCACTGCAAAGTCTGTAACTAGGCCAGAGCTTTCTCTTCCATGTCTGGAAGCACTGTGTTTGGTTGTTGGTAGTGAAGAATTAGAGAAGGAAGGAGGGAGACGAATGGGTTTTGGGAGATGAACTTTAGACCTCGTTGCCTTTACTTTTGATTTTTCTTTGTTAATGCTTTGTAATTTATTATTTTCTGGTAATTTTTTGTGGGTATTTGGATCGGTTCCTTGGCATCGAAGTCTTTTGCTTAGATGAGTATTCCAGTAGTTTTTAATCTCGTTATCAGTTCGACCAGGAAGCCGGCCTGCAATGAGAGACCATCTATTGCCAAGAAGAGAATGTAATCTGATAATAAGATCATCTTCATCACTAGTGATGTTTCCTCTTTTTATATCTGGACGTAGATAGTTCATCCATCTCAATCTGCAACTTTTACCACACCGGAGCAGCCCTGCAGCCAATTCTATGTACATATAGTAAACTAAACACTAGTGGATTTTTTCTTTATCACTAATGTGATTTCTTTCTTAATTAACAAAAGAATTAATTCTATGAAACTTGTTTCCTATTTCGTTTTTTCTTTATCTCCTTCAGAAAACCGTATAAAACACAAGAGAGAAAGTGATGAATTGGGCAAACATATATGTATATAATTACCAGCTTTCTTAGGTAATGATCTCCAATGGCCTTCACCATGAGCTTGAATATACTTGATGAGCAATGTATCTTCTCTTGGTGTCCATGGACCTCTATGTAACCCTACCTTTGAACAGCAAGGAGTTCTTCCCATCTCTCTCTCTCTCTCTCTCTCTCTCTCCCTAGATCTTCTTCCGAGTAATAGAGAAAACAAGAATGAGTATGGAGAATATAAAAGAGAGAAAGAAAACGATGGAAGGAAAATTCAAATGCAGACAAGAAACTCAGGAGACCACAAAACAAATTACAGCTTCCCTTCCCCTTTTAAATATTAACCCTTACAAGGATCCAACAGGCTGCTTTTCATTTTGTCTTTTACTTACAAAACCCAATTTCTTAAACTACTGCAATTAATATTCAATGTAATTAAATTAAATATATATGTACTCCATGCAAGTGCCATACAGTTTTCTTATCAAATATAGTCATATATACTACTATATATAATTAACATACACGTTTCAGTATATTTCTTATTCATGGATATACAATATTCTGCTCGTAATCCAACCACCCTTCTTGTATCTGCCCTTCTTTCCAGCTTCATTTCCATATACCTGTGTCTACAGTATCGCCAACTCCCCTTGGATGCGTAATAAAAACTAATACGTCGTCGTTTTCTTTTTATGTATTTCCGCCACATGTATACGGCTGCGCGCGCATGGCGAGTCAACAAAATTATAAAAAAAAAGTCAATTCCACTTGATTGCAGAAATTAAGTAAGTATTATATTTATTTTTGAAAATTTGTATACGGTAAAATTTAATAATTAAGAATAGAGATTATCAATATAACATAGAATTTAGTTTCCAGTCGGAGCAGGTTCAATGATAATGTTAAGCATAAATTAATAATATATTGTCATCCACGTCTAATTGATCCTAATATTCAAAGAAAAAATTTGTCAATCTTAATACTTATGATTTGTCTTAGAGATTTATGAAGGCTTAGATTAACAATTCATATATAATAGAATTCAATTTTGTTTGGTCTAAATTTAATGGGTCAGAATCTGTCGAATAATTTCTTAATTTATAAAAAATATTGTCATCCAATATAATTAATTATACGTAGATATAAATTTAGTGACATCGTCTTCTTTGTGTAAATTATTAATTTTGACGAATATGAAATCAATAGAAATTAAAAATGTTATAATCAAAATTTAATAAGATTAACTACATCTTGTGTTGCGCTGTGAAATCGTATTAACAATATGATATTATCAAAATTTACCAACTTAACAATTTAGACTATTCGATATGTAAATTTTTTATAGTTTTCATCAATATCAAATAAATACCATCACTTCAGTTATTATTACTGATTTTTAATCTTAGTAAAGTGAAAATCCTTATTCTTCATTTCTGTAGATTGAGCTTATGATACAAGAAGGGGATACTACTAATTTTTAGTTTAATAGTGTATGTTCCACTTGAACTTTTACTTTTCCTCTGCTAGAGTGTATCCAACCTACTGGTTGGTTTGTATATTATGATTATGATTATATATATATATATATAACTTTGTGAAATATAAAAGATATATTTAAGTTATTATAAGTGACGACTTCTTATCATAAAGATATCAATATCCCTATTACTAACAGAGTGATATAGTAATTAATAATATAGTTGCATCATATTTAAAAATTATAAATTTAAATTTTATAAAAAAAAATACAATATTTATTATTTTATAAGTGCATTATAAATTAACAATTATGATTTAGTAATATTTGATTCAAATATTATTAATAATTTAATTAATTAATATATTAATAATAAAATTACGATAACTAAATTATAATGCTGCATATAAATGAAAAAAAAAATATTTTATGTTAGATAAATTAAATCAATTAGGGTATACACAATAAATTAAAAAACTTCTTGAACCAAATTTTGAGATCAATGGACCCAAACATTCCTTTACTCTCAAAAGCTACAGTTTTGATACACCAAACAAAAAATATATATATTATTTTACAACTAGACCTTTCACAAATGCTCAAACTTAATGTCGACAAAAGAAGGAAACATTAACAAGAACATATTAGTATTATTTTATATTTTTACTAATACCCAAATTACAATCTACAAATTGAATTCAGTCGTTTCAACTACTAAAAATATATACTCATTGCACAAAATAATTTCTCAAAACTGAGAGAAGAAAACAACCTCCACATATAAAAGAAACATTTGATTGCACTTCAATTTTAACCGCGCATTCGCATGGATTGCTTCATTTCGCAATGATAGTATAAACACCAATCAATTCAAAGTAATGACACTTGCCATAAGTAAACATTAGTCCAGTACAATATCTGCACTCCCTTGAACTTGGATACTGAAACCAAGTTGTTAAAGTTCCCTGGGGCAATCAAAAAAATAAGCTTGCAAACACAGATTCCTGACATGATACCAGGAGTTGCCCTACCAGCATTACAAGCAGGGACTCTACTCTAGTCTCAGCCAAGTAATCCTACCAAGGCAAAGGCTCAGCGCGGCTTGAAAATTGAAATCGAAACAGAGCACAACAACAGAAAGGAGACTTTAACAATTCAATTAAGAATTAGTCCTTCCCACTAGAGTACACAAGCAGCCTGTTATTACTCTGACAGCATGATCCACATTCGCTATGCAAACAGACAAGCCAATTATTCAACCACCCCTCAAATAATGAAAAGGAGAAATCCCCACCAATTCTTCATGGCTATCTCGCCGCCTCAAGCTATGATTTTCACCTTTTTTTCTTTTCTGTAAAGGAAAAATGATTCTACAAAAGACCCCACAACACACCTCAATGATACACCAGTAACTTCCAATAAACCTTCTTGACATGACTCCTCTATGTCGTTAGGGCATTTAGGTGGGGCAATTTGTAAATGAACAAATTAAAGAATGACATATTTGCACCATAAACTAATGCGCAGGTAACATCCTACCGCCCATTCTTTCGTACTCCGAAGATTTGCTTGCGTTGCAACATACTTTTAAAGTCTAGGTCTGCCAAAAAACCAAGATTTCTGTAATATCATTTCCAATATTCTCCATGTACAAATTAACAAGGGAGCAACTGACGCTGTATGTTCAGTCGATATCCATAATTATACACCTGGAAAACAGTCAGCCCCTTTGACCCCATACTTGGATTAGAATGGCGCCTGCAGCATGATGGCATACCATATTCTGCCTGAATCAATGGAAAAACCACTCACATCATCTCTAAAATATCTTTGAGTCTTTGCAGCTAAAGTCGAACTGGAAATCCATAATTCTGGAATGATCTGATATGCCCATCCCAACCACCAGTTACAATCACGAGGCCCCATGCATGAGGAGAGCTAAGCATGCCTTGGCACGATGTCTTCAGAAACTTGTACTGGGATTTACACATTGCAGGCAATACATGCAGTGAGTGAGGACAAGGAAGCTTCTCCTCTGGCCAGGTTGCAGAACCTTTCGGCAAAGTTTCTGACAGAAGCCCATGGCTCAGTGAGAAATTATCAGGAGAAGAAAATGGCAAGTTTTGTTCAGAACTCTCGCCACACTCAAATTGCTGTGCTCCTCTTTCCTCACTGCATCTCCATAAGTTCACAGATTGTTTAGAAATTTGGGATGTTGCTGCTATACTTGACAAGGTAGAGTTCCCACATGTTGTCCTGCTCCAAGGTATCGCAACTGATACATTGTTTGAAAAGAAGTGTTCACAAGACCAAATGTTCTTCACCTTGTGAACAGGTCCATCCTGGTTAACATAGTTCCACATATAGACATTAGAATCCTCACTTGCAGAAACAACATGCATCCCATCAGAGGTAAAAGATGCAGAAATCTGGCTTCCTGTGTTGCGAACACCTGCAGATTAAAACAAAAGAATTGGAGGATTTACTGATGTGCAGCTTCAACTTTTAAAATTGACTCTATGGCAACCTGTTCACTAGCAAATTCCTCTATAAACCTAAAATCCTGCTGCGCCGGAACATTTGTGGTTGAGATGAAAACAGAAAACAAAATACTAAAAACTCAACAGAAAACTACTGAAAGAAAAAAGAAATCAAGTCAATTAGCCATCTACCTCGAAATTTGCAGATCACATCAACACCACTAAAGATCTTAACTTGTGAATCAGCAGAAGAGACCATTAATTTGCTTGGATCAGTTGGAGAAAACTGCAGGACAGAAACACACCGGGTACCAGTTTCACTACATGGATAAATTCTGAGAACATAGAGAAGAAAGGGATAAGAACTAAAAGGCAGATGGTGAACCTGAAAGCCAGTTATCCTCTTGGACTGAGCCTTCTTACCCTGCAGGCATAATTGAGTGTACAGCTGCAGGCGATTATCTGATCCATGCAAAACAGACCAATTAGTTCACCTAAGCAATATTCCTGCATCATAACATGCAAGCACCAAAAAAAAAAATCAACTTCGCAGAGTGCATCTGTTTTTGAAATTTAGCAAACATCAATGAAGTCATACAACTTCCAAAGTTTTAGTACCATAAATTGCTGAAGGATAATCCAGACCATTATTTTTTGAAGTGGAAAAAATAGCTCATTCAGTCCTATTAATATTTAGAAACATGGGATAGAGTGATCGCTAGAAGGTCAGACAAACAAATTTCAGAAAGGAAATTCTAATTCTTTATTCTTTTAATTAGAATGGCATCACAAGGATGATCTGCAGGGCATGTTCTTCAAAGACATGTTGATAATAAAGTGAGTAAACCTAAGCTTCTGGAATTGAAACACAATTCCCCTCAAAATTAGTTGCAGATATATTTTGGAAATAATGTGGCATCTCCAATACAAGAGAAGTACTCAATAAGAAAAACAGCAACAGTAAAGCAACAGTGGACTTCATAATTATATCCAGCTAGAATTACCACTACCAGCAGCTTTGCATAATCAATTCTTCGGTACATCTACGTTAGCTAAAAATACTTAGGAATAAGACAAGCTCCAATCTTAAGCCTTTTGAGGGTATAGTATGAAAAATGATGAAATACCAAAACCAAAAAATATTTAAAATGGCTCAAACAAATCCGGCTATTTAATAAGTAAAAATTAAGCAATAGTGACAAACTAAAAGCAACAACTGCCACAGCCTTAAGTTGAACCAAAGGCCAGTATCATGGCAAAAGCAGGTTTGGCTAATGGGCATCTTGAACTTTCCCTGAGAAAAATTTAACCAAGTAAAACTGATTTTTGTAAAAATTTCATGAAAAATAGCATATACCTGATGCATCATAGAAGCGACAATTGCCAGCTATGGAACCTACAATTATACCCTGCACAACAAAAAAATTATAAATGAGAAACTCCTTTACAGTTAGTATTCTGAAGTAACAATACAAAAAACTTTACACTACCTTTCCATCAGGGCGATAACACACAGCTGTAACTATTTCATTTATATCAGTCCAATCAACAACTTGACAACCAGAAATTGCCCAGATGCGAACCTTTCCGTCTATAGAACCACTAATGAAGGAATCATCATCCACAGGATTAAACTGAACACATGTCACTGTACCAAATAGCAGAATGAAGATAAAGCAATTAGACAAAATATGTTTCAAGCAACAATCCAATATTCATTGACAACTATACTTGCATTGCCAATAGGCAAGCAATAAAAACATACCATAGTTGCTGTGGTAAAATACTTTTAAGCATTGGTCACATCCCACTTGCCATAAGCGAACAGTTTTATCAACAGAGGATGACAGGATAAACTGCAAAGAATAATGATAATAAAAAACCCAGCCAAAATTCCAGCAACCAGAGATAATAATAGCTCAGAAACAGTTTCCTACCTTATTTTTTGACCATGAGAGATCCAATACTTCACCAGAATGACCACTGAACTCATGTATCGGTCTCTCCATTATACTGAAAACTTTCTGGGGGAAAATGACACAACTTGAATCTGGTATTGTCCTCGCACTATTAGATTTTCCTTTTTTATTAATTTTGTCTCTATGAAGGGGGACTATTTTAGAGAGATTATTTACTGTGAAGTACATAAATGAAGAATCCATGTCATGAATGTCAAACACTTCTGATCTCTCTGTTTCTACTACCTGCCATACACGCACAATAGCATCCTCCCCAGCACTTGAAAGGTACTGACCATCAGCACTGAATTTCATTGTTAAAATTGAACCCTCGTGAGCCTTTATATCTTGTCTAATGTAAAGAGCTGAGAATTCCTTGGAGCGCTTTTTGTAAGAGCGAACCCTAACTGCTTGTTTCTTTGGGCTCGTACCTGCCAAGGAATCATTAGATATAACAGTACCAGATTCCAATTGCCTATCAACAATGCAAGCTACAGCTCCTAGTCTCCTCAACCATCCTTTCTTCACCCGCCTTCTTGAATCATGTAAACTGCCAGCCTCTTTGACATCTTTCCGCATGGCTTGTTGAACTAAAGGAGATAGCCCAAGACTTCTTTCAAATTCATCGACAGTGAGCAATCGGTTTGAACCCACTTCACGCAGTCTACCGAACATGCCATCTTGCCCAAGTTCATCGACAATAAACTCTGTTCCATCATCCAAATTCCTAATTCTACATAGAAAATTCTCCTCCAATGCCCCATCTAGCGATTCCCCAGCATCGTTTGACAAGCATGATATTGAAGACTGGCTAGAAGAAAACCTATCATCAAAAGTTGATGATCTCAAGACTGCCCCACTATGATCTATCATTCTATCCGTCTCCACTTCAACTTCACCACAAGAAATTTTAGCAGAATCTTCACTCTCTGATTGATCTACACTTAACCCCATCCACTTTAGAAACTTATTCCGCCGCTCATAAATGCTAATTGGATTTTTAATCCATACTTCATATCCAAAATTAGGCCGATAAGAATTAACAACGCGGTAATCAAAGTCAGAATTGTCGGGGCAATCAGATCCCGAATCTGATACCGAGGAAACATCCTCACGGGTGTCAAAAAATTGATCATCTTCCTCGCTCAAGCTCCCCATCATTGACTAGACACTTCAACCCATGAGAACCTACCCCCTAAGGACAATTTTCATCCATCAAAAACCCTAGGCAACATCCTAAAATTCCCTACAGAAAGAAAACATGAGCAGACTATTAAACTCCATAAGAAAAATCAGGGAAGCCTATTATGAGTACCTAAAAACTTCAAACTTCACACAGAGAAGACAGATCCCAATTTAGGCACAACCTAAATTTGAGAAGGGATAAAATGTTTTGAGCAAAACTGAAAACTGGAAAACGACTCTATGTACACAGATCAGTACATAGTGCTTGAGACGATATACAAACAGGAAAAAAAACTAAATGAGAAAGCAAAAGAGAAATGAAGAATATAAGGGAATCATGGGATGTAAGCAAAACGGGGTTTCCAATTGCTAAATTAATAACATAGTAAAAAGAAATAAAGAGAAACAAACAAAAAAGTGATTTAGTGGGTAGGGCTTGGGCACCTGGGGTTTTCTATGAGAAGTCCGTCAAATCCAAGACACCAGCAATTCATCATCATCCATGGGGATTTCCAGCCCTTTCTCTCTCTACTCAATCAAAGTGACTCTGCTTCTCTCTCCCTCTCGCGAAAGAAGAGTAAACTTAAAAAAATGGAGAAAAAAACAAAGAAACAAAAACTGAAAAGGAGTAAAAGAAATTCTCGAGTCCAGTGAAAATAGGTGGCCCGAGAAACGAGGATTTGGGAGAGACGAGTGTGTTTTTGTGCCCGTACTGGTCTGTTCTCCTCGTCGTCGCCCCAGTTTCTTCCTCCTTTATCCTTTAGCTTTTACAGAGTTTTATTTACTGTTTTAGCCCTAACAAAGTAAGCATCAAGGGGGAGATTATATTAACTGTTAATTGTTTTCCGTGCGATTTTGGTCCAAATCCGCACGTGCCATATTTGCAAATCGTTACAGTCCCTAATCATCACTGTTTTCTTATGACGTTTATAACAAAATCTTTGATATTACCATTCTAACCTCACGAAATTCTGGATCATATTTATATCTTTTGTAATTAAAATAATTATGAATTTTTAAATTCAGCGACCTTTCAACTGTTCTTGATAACAATTATTCTTCTTTGGTTAAACAAGGAAAATTTTTAATTTTAGTTCCACAACTAAAACATTATTTATTTTGAATATAACAAACAAGAATATTAGCATTATTTCTTAAAAACACCAAATAATATGAATCATGTCTAAATATTTAATACAAATATATCAAACTCATAAATAAAAGTACGCCAAGAGTATTTTTTTTTTTTTTTAGAGTGAAAGAAATAAAATAAAAAAATATTCAGTAATGAATTTGTTTAACGAGATGTTTTAAGAGGCTCAATGAAAATAAAATTAGGGTGTAATATCTCTTGAGTTTGATATTCAAGATTTATAAAGTTATTCAAAATTAGTTTTAGTGGTTATGACGTCTATTAAAACTAGTGATATTTTAGAGTTGACTCATCATCTGTCAAAAATTTTCTAGAATCAATTTTTATGAGTTTAAGGATTGCGAAGTCCATCAAAGTCAGTCCTTACCTTGGGAATGGTCTTTTTTTCCCAAGTTATCTACATGGGGTTGATTTATTTTTAAGAGTTATATAATATATGATGAGTTGATCTCATAGTTTCTAAGACCTCTCAAGATTACTACTCATTAAGTTTTTAACAATTAGTCCTTTAAGTGTTAAAGATTCTTTAGTAATTATGAGATTTCTTCAAGTCAATCTACTATACTTGCGTGCAATATGGTAAGTGTAGGAAACTTTAAATTTTTTTTTTTAATTCAGCTAATTAAATCACATGTTTTATCAAATTAAAATTTAAAATAAATCTCAGTTTGTAATAATTATTGTTAACAAATTCATTCTTATCACGCAATGCTTATTTAATATAATTAAATTGACTTTAAAAGACAAACTCTTACTGTCACTAAAGGTTCTTCAAAGTCTTCATTCGACCTTGAACTTGTTCTTGATCTGCACTAATCTACATTACGAGGTGTGAATTGGGGTGAGTTTCACGGACTCAATAAGAAAAAGAGGCAATGCTCACAGCAAAGATATACATAGATTCAATCACCAAATCTTCTAAATCAATTTATTCAGTAAATATTCAAAATTCTTTATTTCAATATTATAACTCAGGGCATAAACAGTACCATAAATAGTATAATTCAATATTCAGTATCACAATTTAAGCAATAAGTAGTTCAGTAAATATTAGTTTAGTATTTAAGTATCGTAAACTTCACTCATGACTTTCTGTTCTTTCCTATCAGTTTATATCTTATTAAAAATAATTTCATCACGCGATACCATTTTTGTCAGCATCAACGAAGGCAATAAGGATCTCCTCTACCACGTGAATACATTACAATTCAGTTAACAGTTCACAATTTACAGAAAATATACAGTTCACAATTCTTATCGCTTCGACACGTCTGACAGAAACCGTATCCACTGGTAGGGTTCACCACAGTCACACGTCGAAAGTTTACATACATTCCCACCCCTCGATGATACCAGTTAAGCAGATTTTTTCCTCTTTTAAAGATTCTTATGTTATTATTTTACTAATCAGGATCATCACTAGATGACTTATTCAGACCATGCACCTACTTATATATCATATATATTATACCTCAACATAGCTACACATTAAGCACAATATATACATTTTATACGCACAGTTATTGACTTAAATAAGTATATATAGACACGCAACACATACAACATGAATATACTTGTATAATTACATAAGGCATATATGTATTCTATAAGCAGACACATACAAGTTGTTCACGCATACATATACATGTTACACAACCTACAATTATACATATATATATGTCACACATACTTATAACTCGATAACTAGTATGCATAAAATCTACATATCCCTACAAGTAACAAGATGAATACACAATTATACGTCATATATAACATCATCTAGGTTTTCAATCATATACAATTGCACACATGTGAATATGAAGAGTTCGCAAAACTCGTGGTAGAAAACTTAAACAGTTTGTGAAGTCTGAAAATAATTCATTTTAATAGAAAATAAGTTTTTATAAAAATATGGGGGCCTTTGAATGAGACTAACCCAATCCTTTACCTATAGTTGAATCGCCAAGTGTCGGAATCCTTATTGGCTCGGGTCTACACTCTCCTCTAAATCTAGTATTGTTCATATAATTCTCTCATTTACAAACAGAAAATATGTGGGTTAATGACGGATATTTGTAGAAATAATTATAATATAAAAAGAAGATTGAGTTTTACTATAGTGTGATACCGGTCACCAGAATCACCATGCGCCACCATACACATGTTATTGGTTCACCATGCACCGCCGGCGGGGCGTCACAGCCGCCATACGCGTCACTGCTAGAGCTAGCACATGCCACCAAAACCACCCACGCGCCGCCATGCTTCGATCAGAACCCATTATAGAATGAGCCGCGTACGTAGATCCAGCCTGAATATGGCGGAATCACGTTAGAGAAGGGTGTGGATGTGTGGAAGTGTGCTCGACCACCGCCGCGGTTCACCCTCTTTTTTGTACCCCATCGCGTGTTAACTCTCTTCAACCTTCTGGTTATGGGTCTCCTGCCGTACTACACACCACACACACCAAACCCACCTCGCTACTGGTTTAATCTGTTATCTCTCTCTCTCTCTCTCTCTCTCTCTCTCTCTCTCTACTTGTTTGACTATGTTCATCTCTCCTTTCTAATTTTTTTCTTTTTTGCTTTAATAGGTAAGAAGGCAGAGAACCCTACACGCATTTTCTTCCTTTTTCCTTAGCGTGCAAATCCTGACTTCTTCTTCATTTTTTCATTTTTTTCGTTTTTTTCCTTTTTTGTCACCAAAACGATGTCTTTTTTATGCTCTCAAAACGACATTTTCTTCACCTTTTTCTATTTTTCCTTTCTTCATATCAAAATGGTGTCGTTTTTTGGAGTTTTCCAAAAATGACATCGTTTTAGCTTTTCCTACTTCTAAAAAGTAGATTGGTTAGATTTATTTCTCTTGGGCCAGATTGTTACTTTCTCAAGTTGTTGTTAAATAGTTTTCTCATTCATAAAAAAGTATAGAAGCTTAAAAATCTAGATGCATTTTTAGTTAAATTCATTTTTTAGAATGAAGTGGTAGTGTTTTGAAACAACTTACCTTACTTATGGCTTCATGTCACAAGTAATCTTTGAAGCTTGATCAATGTTCTCATTCCCTATCCTAACTCAGATATAAGAGATAAAGAAACAAACCTTGTCGAGAGAACTCTATAAACTCCTTTAACTTTCAAGTATTCTCTAAGTTGAAAAGAGGACATTACTCCAAAGTTAAGAAACCATAATAGAGATATAATAGTAAAAAATCAATGGTTGGTTATCAACCGAACTACTAGTCTAAAAGTTTAGGAGTTCACCATTTCCCAGGTTTCATCAAAGTTAACCTTTAAGGACCTATACATATTTAAAAAGTTTTTTCAATCAATAGAGTTAAGCTAGCAAAAATCATCAACATAAAAAATGTCTTTGGTTGCTAAAACTTAGTTAAATATCTAGATTTAAAAATTGTTGGGTCATGAATGAGTCTCCAACCAAGTTTTATAAAGAAAGTCCCATTCTGGATTTTCATATCACGAATGCCAAGACAACCTCACTCTTTCACATGAAGGAGACTTATCTCATTCCACGAGAGGGATTCTCCTCTACCCCACACAGGATTCCCAAATGAAATATTTTATGAGCTTACCAATATGGTCAATGATAAAGTTTGAAAGGAAAACTATTTACAAGGTTTATAAAGGGGTTGAGGACATGATTGTCTTAACTAGGGTGGTTCTTCTAGCTTTAAAAAGATGAGAGATTTAGCGATTTACTAATTTGATCTAAACATAGTTAATAAGCCACTAATACATGATGCTAAATTATCCTCAAGTGGATAAAAGAACTCTTAAATACCTTGTAAGGTGAGTCATAGATGTCATCGTGCTCAACTCAAATAGTTTTTAGTTTAATCCTATTCTACTTTTTTTTTTTTAGAAAAAAGATCAAAGACCTTATATAGGTTAATTTTTTTGCTTGAGCTAGGACAAAAAAGATCGAACTAGTTCTTACTCATTTTTATATGTTCTTTAGAAGCCTTAATAGAACGAACAAGATCGTTAGTGAAAAATAGGAAATCATTGAGCCATGCTGAGTAAATTTGAGGGGCTTCCTCACATTATGGTGACTCTATAGCAAATTATATGACAGTGTCTCGACGTAAATGACAAAGATGTAAGGAGATAGGGTCCTCTTGAGGGTTGAAGCTTTTAAAAAGGGTGACATTGATCAAAAATTCTATCAAGGAGGATCTAATGCAATTCATGATATATTGGGTCCACTTGGGGAAATCCGATATATCGTAAGCTCCTTCCTAGTCAACTTTAACAGTCATAAATTATTTCTCCTAATATTTTTTCTTTCATTATACGAATAACCTCCTAGATATTTGTGATATTATTAATAATTCAATGCCCATAGACAAAGTTAGACTCACTCAAATATAAATGATGAGCTATTATTGATTTTAACTAACTGGCAAGTATTTTGGTAATAATTTTATAAATGACGTTGTAAAGACTAATTAATCTCAAATTGACAAAAGTCTTAATATTCTCGTTCTTAAAGATAATAGTAAGAATAATATCATTTACAACATCAACATGGCTTGAATATATATAGATCCCAATAACAAAGTTATTGATACTTTAATCAAGTTCCTAATGATTATGATAAAAGCACGT